CTTCTGTACAAGCCCTGACTTCATATCAGTAGTGAGGCAGTCCTCCCCCATGCGGTGAAAAGGACACTGGAAGTAGCAAAACAGATGAGCATTCAGATACTGTGGTAGCACACCAGTGGCTGCACACATCACCAAGGACAGGATAAAATGTAAGATGGAAGACAGGGAAGAAACATCTGGGCCAGCAGAATACAATAGGTGGCAGAGCATCTGCGCTGCCCCACCCCCCTGAAGGTATTTGAAGCTGGCCAAAGGTCTTAGTTCTTGGCTCTTGGCTTGTTGCCCTGCATGAGTCTGAAGGTATTTGAAGCTGGCTCTTGGCTTGTTGCCCTGCATGAGTGCTGATGTTACCCACCAGCCCGGGACACAACTTATCTATTTCAAGAGCTTACTAAAGGCCTGTATATTATTTTATAATATTTGTTCATTTTATTAGTAGGCCACCTTGAGTAATGGGGGAAATATTTATAAACAAACAAAAGCAAAACAATGGCATAGAGGTTCTTTGGTGGCATTCTACAAAGGAGAGAGCTCTTGCTTTATTGCTCTCAGTTTAAGAATCACGGCAGCGGCATGCTTATCCTCAGGAAGTGGCCGACGAAATGTCTACCCTGAGCGATTTCTTCACTCCTACCCACAAACATGCGCAGCTATAATCAAAACCAACCATACAACGCCAAAGGAAGGTTCTTGCCCTCTCTGGCTTGTGGCTTCTGTCTGGTGTGCAAGTCAGAGCAAGAAAATTTTTTAGCAGGACTTCCTGAGGCCCGGTACAGAACCCCCTTCCCCGACCAACAGCAGTGGATGTAACCGGTTTAAAAGGACAGATGTCAGATAATTTCTATAAGCTGCAAGAGCACTTTGCCGGGTACCCTGCCAGCAAATTAATTGGATTACTCAATCAAAAGAAACTGTTGACAGTTAATGGCTTGCAACTACTCACGAGGGTTGTTTCATGCGAGATTTCCATCTCCGTTAACCAATTAAAATGCACTACCAAGTGGTGAAGTTTACTTCAGCGAGTGCAAGTTAATTCGGCTGCCGTATTAAAGCCAACCCAGCTGTTTGCAGCAAGCTGCTGCCCGCCTCAAAGCTTAGAGAAAAGCCAGTGGCATGAACAACGGCACTCGAGAGTTTTAAGCGAGACTGACACCCTGGGCTTGCCCACTTGTTCCGAAATTTTTGCTGAACCTGCACTGAAGCCTGTCTTAAGGACCTTTCAGCTTTTGTTATTGATGCATTTCAGCTTTTCCCTGCGCTCACTTCCAAAATGAACCACTGGGCAGATATGATCATGGAGAAGGTGCTGGCAGCTGTAAAGTCTCTGACACATTTCCCCTCCTTCCAGCAGTTCCTTCCTGGCCTCCTGGGATCAGCGAATGTTAACAGCCATGCAGGCCAGGAGGCTGCATGGGGGAGTGGAAAGGGGGCGAATTTGCCCCTCCTGTCAGCAGAGTGATGCTATGGAAAAGGGAGGAGGAGTCAGTTTCACCTCTACCCCCTTTCTTGGTGCACCCCACTCTCCAAGCTGTGTGGCGGTTTCTCCATCAGGGACCTGTCATCTCAGAAACCAACTTCCCCAGAGTGTCAGATGGGACAGCAGGGAAAGGGGAGAGGAATATGGCAAAAAAAACCACCCTGTGACCCTTGTGTCAATGGAACACTGGATCTAGCCCAATATCTGTTTACTGAGAACACTGTATACCACTTCTCATCCAAACTGGTTCTCAAAGCTGTTCACAGGAATATAGCAATGTAAACAAGTAAGAATAACACTTATCCTCCCCCGCCCCCAGCGGGCCAGAAGGTAAAATAATGGCCCTATGCAAAAGCTCCAAAACCAGGAAAGAAAATTGAACAGAAAACTTTGAGTTCAGACTGACAACTCTTTTCCTTATTTTCAATGCGAGCGGGGGGTGGGTGGTCTCATGGGCCTAGGAGCCACCACAAAAAAGGCTTTGCACCTCGTTGATGACAAGCGATACTCTGGAATGAATGCAGTATGTTCACAGACGCTTATCTGCATAAGGCAGCCACATGCTGTACCTTGGCTGGTCTTAAGGGCAGCCTCACATACAGCAGCCTAATTGAAAAACAGCCAAGGTAGAAATAAGAGGCAACACCCTTGTTTTCCAGCAATGGGCACACAGTTGGTATGCCAGCTTAAGATAAGAAGCACTGCAGACCACAGCAGCTCTCGTCAAACAATAAGGGGGTGTTATCTTCCATTTTTAAGAACAAAGTCTGAGTCGAGTGCCACCTTTCAGACCAACAAAGTTTTATTCTGGGTACAGGTTTTCGCATGCATATATCTGAAGAAGTGTGCAGGCACACGAAAGCTTATACCCAGAATAAAACTTTGTTGGTCTTAAAGGTGCCACCCGATTCAGACATAGTTCTACACTCATGTTCGTCTTCCAAGTGTACATGCATGTGAAAAGTATACCCAGAGAATAAAACTGTTTTGGTCTTAAAGGTGCCACTGGACTCAAAACTTTGTTCTGCTGCTTCAGACCAACATGGCTACCCACCTGAATCTATTTTCATCCTTATGTTGGCCTTGTTTCTACACTGAGTGTGTAAGAAATTCTGTCAAGTTGCAGCTGGCTTATGGCAAACTTGCTGGTGTTTCAAGGCAAAGAGACGTTCAGAGTTGGTTTGCCATTGCCTGCCTCTGTATACTGACCCTTGACTTCCTTGATGGTCTCCCATCCAAGTACTAACCAGGGCTCACCCTGCTTAACTTCTGAGATCAGGCAAGACTGGCTTAGCCTGGGCCATTCAGGTCTGGGTTCTGTCTCAGATCTTCTTTTTTTGTTTAACTTGTAATAATTCAGTATTGCCCTGACATGAATCAATACTGGCTGTTCATATGTGGTCAGTGATTCTGGAGCATGTAGGCGGTCCCACACCAGTCACACAAGTGTCTCTGGCATATCTTCAAGGGGAAGCCAGTTTAAGCTATTTCACATTCTATAGTTTAATTAAAAAACAACCCAAACCCAAAACTCCACTGCATTATTTGTGCAATGCACCTGTTCAACAAGCCATGTGTTGTTTGGGTGCTCTGATATAACAGTGCTGGCAGGCAGATGAAGGAGAAGGGTTGGTTTTTATACCACGCTGTTATCCACCCTAAGGAGCCTCAAAGTGGCTTACAATCGCCTTCCCTTCCTCTCTTCACAACAGGCACCTTGTGAGGGTAGGTTCTGAGAGAGTTCTGGGAAAACTGTGACTGGCCCAAGGTCACCCAGCGGGTTTCATGTGAAGGAATAGGGAATCAGACTTGGTTCTCCAGATTAGAGTCTGGTGCTCTTCACCACTATACTATACTGGCTCTTGGGCACAATCAGATACAGCGCACACTCAGAATGGTCACCTGGGGGGAGGACTGAAGGTAGGAAGGTGACAAGAACTGGAGAAGGAAAATTATTTCCCAGATGATTCAAAAGGTAGGATTTATAGTTCAAGGAGGAAAGGGGAGATGCACTAAAAAAGGAGGAGGTATGAAGTGAGTAAGAGACTGCCAATAGGTAGGAGAGAACATAAGACTGGATCCTGCAAATCCATTCCACTAGCAGGGGCACTTTCCCCTGGTGGAAAATGTTCTCCCCTGGAAGAAAGCATCTGAAATGGATCTGGAGGATTCAGCCCATGGAAGAAAGGAGCCAGGTGATAATGTCCACACCACGTCTGCTTTCGGATGTCACGATGGGCTCTCTCCTCCCCAGATGCGCCGACCACAACCAAAGGCTTCTGAAACCAGGATCAAATCAGAATCCAGTTTTTAGGGGGATGGAGTTGAATGCATCTGGACAAATGGGAGTTTCTTTCCCACAAACCAGATTTCTAAACCATGGTTTAATCCCAGTTCTGAACCTAGACGTGTGAGGAGGAAGCAGAGGCCCATTTTTGCCCAGGCAGCCACCTTTGGATGCCACAGAAAACTGGAGTTTGACTGAAGGCTTCCAAAAACAGGAAGACTTTGGTCCTGCTGCATGTATGAGGAGGAGGGGGGAATGGGCAAGCACAACCAGAAGCCTAGTTCACACATGTCACAAACAAACCCACTTCTGTGTAACACAGTCAATTATTAGCATAGGCCAGTCTTGGTTATAAGGGTGCAGATGGAAAAAGTTCACTCTGAATACACCTGTGTTAACTTTGGCTCTTACTACCGCTATGATTATTTCAGTTCTGTGGGGCCTGCAAGACAGAGCTCTTCCACCAAGCCTTCGATTAGGAGCCGCATCAAACACCTGAGGAATGACCCTGTGCCCTGGCCTTACTACTACAGCCTGTGCTTGCCGCTCAAATAAGCTGATCAAACTGAGCTGGAGAATACCATCGTGACTGATACTGTCACCTTAAGCAGTATTGTCAACTTGAAACCTTCTGTTCTCGCACTTTATTAGATCACCGTTCCAGCACTTTAGGGTAATCGACAAATGAATTGTCTATGGTTGTTTTTATTAATGGTTTTAATTGTATTTATATATGGATTTTTATGTGAGCCACCCTGAGCCTGCCCTGGTAGGGAGGGTGGGGTATACATTGAACTAATAAATAAATAATAAATACATAAATAGTATTTCTAAAAATCCCTAAAATTGCTAGGCACTGCATGAACATGATTCTAATCCTGAGCAAGTGCAGTCTGATGTCTGTGAAATTAATTACTATTTAAAAATTCTCCCACACGTTACTTGATTGAAAAATGGGGTGGGGGGGGGAACTTAAACCAAAACATCTAGCAGTAATTTCACCATATTCATGCCAAGATGACTTTAAAAAATTATACTTTTGCTATTTCAAGATCAAGGCTTTTGCTCCAACAATGCAGTAGCTGTTGATGGCTTGCCACAAGGAACAATTTCTTTAAAATTCTTCAGGGGTCCAAGGACAAGCCCAATACAGTATTTTGATAAGACCGCAACTAATAGAGACAAGTTCTAGGACCTTCTTAAGCGGCCCCCAAATGCTCTCTCTTTTGTGCTTACCAGTTGTGGACTCAGATACCACCGGTCATTTGTGAAGAAGTAGTGACCCAGCCTGTTGGACTCCAAAGACCAAAGTTACAAGGCGCAGAGAGACAGCCTGACTCCAAGAAAGAGGAACTCTCCGTCTTGTGCCAGAAGAAACCCAAGTTTTTATTGATGAACACACACACACACAAAGCTGACTTTTGAGAGGAAGAGGTGGAAACTAGGCCAAAGGTCTAAGGTGCCTTTGGGGCTTTTTTTTAAAGCTACTGACGCAATCTTTTAACATGGCAATGATCCCATTCCAAGAGCAATGGGAGAAGGCAGCCCAAAAAAGATGTTGGCACACAACTAGCTAGTTGCTCCATTTCTTAGGATGTAATCAAATCATATTATTGCATATATAACAAGTAGAAGCTTCAGCAAATTAAGAAATAAGATACTAAGATCTACTGAGATTAGGGCTACCAACCTGGAGATCTCCCAGAATTACAACTGAGATCAGTTTCTCTGGAGAAACTTGCATCTTCAGAGAGTGAGCTCTAGGGCATCACATCCTGGAATTTTTCAAGCTGAGGTGGGCAACCCCAATCAAGATGCTGTACAAATAGGATTAAGGGCCTTGGGAACGTTCTACCACAGGGCATAAACCACTGGGCATAAAAATAAAGGAGCAAGCAATGGGGCAAATCCTTCGGACATTATGCTTCCCACAGGGAGCCACTGATTGGGTAATATTGGCATCATAGCTCCTGGCCTACATGACCCCACCTTCATAACTAAACCAGAAACACAACTTCTTCTGCAGGGGCATGCCCTCCCCATAACTATGTATCTCCTGTTCAGCCTACTAAGTTCTAAGCACAAGTAACCCCTTTCTGTTTTGCAGCTCAGCTATTTCATTGGCTAGCACAGGCTGAACTAGTTTTACAGAACCTCTTGTTGGGAGTTGCTCATCGCTGTAGACCTCTTCAGGCACATTTGGAGGCAAATGTTTTACCAATAATAAAGAAATACTTGGGGTCAAGGACTAATGGGCCAATCACAGCGTGGTCTCATGCAGAGTTCTTCCACATCACCTACCCTACAGCTAATAAAATGGCAATGTTTATGAGGGAGAAGAGCAGCAGCAGTCTGCAAAGTGAAAAGGGCCTGGAGCAAGCCCTACTGAACAGCCCCTGGGATGCTACAGGTCAATCCAGCAGGAGCCACTTAGCTCAGTGTCCTTCCCCAAACTGGCAGCAGTTTGAAAGGAGACAATTTGTTCACTGACACCGCATCCCACTGCTGATGAACAGTCTGGCCCCTGGGACACTGGTAGAGTTGCTTCATTCTCCTGCCCTAAATGTGGCATATGAGGCCACGACAAACCGTACATGGTGTATTTGTCTTCTTTTACTAACATTTACGTTTTATTTTAATTGTTTATTTGTGAATTGGAACATTTTCCAGATTTCTTTCTGGCACAGAACTGGAAAGGACTAGTAGTGAGCCAATTTAGAGTCAATACACCAATTCCCCCCAATCAGGCCAACCCATTCACCTGGAAACACCAAATGCCAAAAGCAAGCAGTGTGTGGACTCTGCAAAGTTCAACACTAAGCATTCACAAAGCATTTTTTTTCTAATGCTCAAAAGACTATTTCTGCATAGGTGTAACAATGTATCGTTATCCATCCCAGTAGTATTATACAACCCAACACCCATGATGCTAAAGAACAGTAGCTCACTAATGCCACTCAGTACACATGATCAGAACAGTATCCAAACCGGTGCCTTCCCTGCTCAAATTCTTTTAAATCATCTCAGTAGTGTTATCCAGCCCAACACCCATCATGCTAAAGAACAGTAGCTCACTAAGGCCACTCAGTACACATGATCAGAACAATATCCAAAACGGTGCCTTCCCTGCTCAAATTCTTTTAAAGGCTGCAGTACACTAACTCTCAGAAGGCACCTCTTGAGGAACATGACTCAGTTTACAGCCAGACGACTACCTGGTCTTGCATAACTATGTTGTTATGGAGCAGATGGTTTTGAATGACTCAAGCACAAGAGTCAAGCCACAGGTTCTAGGGAAAAGCAAAACTTCTATGTGGCACCTTGACAACTAGACCCAGGGGAAGAATTCTCTCAGAAGCTCAGACACAAGGCAGGCAATGAGCAAATCGCACTCCTCAAGTCACCCCAGAAGAAACATATGTTGCAGATGATTAACACACTGCCTCAGTGTAACCACCCACACAACCCCTCTACCTCCCCCTCTTCAAGTTCTCCTCTCGACCCAGGCCTCCCCGCAACAAAAGCCAGAAGGTCCGGCAATTTTTCTTCTCCCTTTGCACAAAAGAGAGATGTACCAGTTAAAGCTGGTATCTGATCCTTGGTAAGCAAGCTTTGATTTTAAAAATCAAATGTACATTTTTTTTTTTCATTTCCGCTGAAATAAAAGCATATAACTGGAATACACGACACATGGACATAAGAAACTCCCTTATTCACTCAGACATCTGTCAAGGTCAGGAATGTTTACTTAGATTAGCAAAGATTTTCCAGGGTCTCGAGTGGAGGTCTTTCACATGGTGTCTGCTTTGGCTGAGAGAGGAGGCTATAACTGTCCATGAAGACATCTTGTGTTCTCTTTTCTTCAACAGACCGCTGTGTCTGACAAAGGGAGCTTTGGCTCTCAAAAGCAGGGGTGTCAAACATAAGGCCTGGGGGCTGGAAGAGGCCCCTCCCGGGCTCTTACCCAACCCGCAAGCAACTGGTATATAGAAGAAGACGAGATTGGATTTATACCCCACTCTTCACTACCCAGAGGAGTCTCAGAGTGGCTTACAAACTCCTTTCCCTTCCCCTCCCCACAACAGACACCCTGTGAGGTAGGTGGGGCTGAGAGAGCTCTGACAGAAACTGCTCTTTTTCAAGAACAGCTGTGCCAGAACTACCGTATGTACGGATATATAAGGTACTCCCCCTTTTATGGTATCCCTTGGGGAAAAAACCTAGTCTTGCATGTGATTAAATACATTTATTGGGGCTTTTGTGAGTTCTCCAGTAAATCAATTGCTTTCACTGCTAGGAATCAATTGCTTTTGTTTGTATTTTGAGTTAAAAATATTGTTAATTGGGTTGGCCTGTGTCCTTTATAAAGTTTGTATCTCCGGTACCTGGCATTACATTTTATGGCACACCTGGCCCGGCCTGACAACGTGACATTTATGTCAGATCCGGCCCTCGTAACGAATGAGTTTGACACCCCAGCTCTAAAGCTTATACTCTGAAACTTCTTGTTGGTTTCTAAGACGCTACTGGACTCAACTGCAGCTGTTCTACTGCAGACCAACATGGCTACCCACTGAAACAATCTTCAGAAGGTACCACATTAAGCCGCATGAAGTAGAAATCCATCAACTGCTGTATCTGACAAAGGGAACTTTGACTCTTGAAAGCATATACACTGAAACTCTTTGTTGGTCTCTAAGGTGCTACTGGACTCAAATCTAACTTGTTTTCTCAATAAGCTTTGGCTCAAGGCAGAACTGGTAAGGCCACTCAATTACTAATGATTGCCCAGAGCGAGGTTTTACTTTTTGTAATCTTCGTCTTCACAACCCTAGGTTAAACAGACAGGATGGCTGGCCGGTGGCGGAATACGGATTGGAACCTGGGTCTCCCTGGGTTAAGTTCCACCATTCAAGTCACAACGCCATGCTGGTTGCCGCTTTAATCCCATTCACATAGAGCCATCTCTTTCAAAACTGTGGTCCACAGCCAATCTTCTCCCGTAATGTGCAGCCACTGGGGGGGGGGGTCACTCAAATAATGGCAGTTATTATACTCAAGAGGCCTCCCTCAGTAGATGGCATAAACTGATAATGCTCCCCAGCATCAAAAGCACAAGGGAACCAGGACAAGCCCATCAACAGAGAAAAGGATCTCAAGTGTACCTTCCTTTACTAAGCGCTATTGGAATTCTACGCAGGACGACGTTTCGCTTCATCTAATACAAGCCGTTACACATTTCATTGCTTGTCTTCGTTAAGAATTCATGCTGCTTTATGCAGACATACATTTTTCATAAGAGCAACACTGGAACTCTCTCACAGGTGTACAAGAAAAAAGCCTAGTATCTTCTACACACCCAGAACTACAGCATTTCAGCTGAGACACTAATCCTGCAAAGCAAACATTTTGATAATTGCTCTCTTCGGAACATCACCTCAACGTGCTTCTAATAACGGCACTTCATTTCCCAAGGTGTCCCATCAGGTTGCTGCCTAATCAAATTCCCCCTTTAAAAAATGACCTGGAATGAGAATCTGCATCAAAAGAGAAATGCTCCAAGACTTTCATTCCATAGGAAAAAGGCCATATAAGACACTTATTAACCAAGACCATCATTCAGTGTGGGCATCATGCTTCCATCCCCCTCTGGGAGTGTGTCACAACATGCAATTATTTCTCAGTTTCTGATCAGCTCACTAGTTCCTGCACATCAAGTAACTATTCCCTTAATGGATTTGCTTTGACATATTTTTAAAGCATGCGTGCCAAAGGCCCAGATCACTCAGCATGAAGAAGTTTGGCCTTTATTAACATTGCTATAATGTGGAGGCATGAAAAGAGAAACTAGCAACGGCTGTTAATACATTATTTTTTTGTTATTTAATTCCTTTGCCTACCACTCAAATACTGTGGTGGAACCTCATGTGCTAAGCAAAATATTCAAGGAGCAGAAATTTTGCTGACAGACAGGAAAAAAGACATTTATTGCGCCTTCTCAGTTAGTCCACAAAAATTACTGTTTTCTGTATAATTGAAACATTCATCGCTAGCTTTTTTCTGAGAGACTCTATGTTTGCCACCTGAGCTTAGAGCCCCTTTGAAAAGCACATACTGTCATTGTGCTGCACACTTCCCTACCCTGTCATGTTATTGGTTGTTTGCGGATTTCCCTGCACCATCGTCATCCCATCATATTATCGAGGCAGAGGGGCTAAAGAGAGGAGCAGTACAGATTTCCCTGCACCATCCCATCGTCATCCCATCATATTATCAAGGCAGAGGGGCTAAAGAGAGGAGCAGTACTGTGTTCCTCACAACAACTAGTTCTGCACACATAATGC